TGCCCCGTGTGAGGATCGAACTCACGACCTTCAGATTATGAGACTGACGCGCTACCTACTGCGCTAACGAGGCCGAAAACATTGGACAGTGAGTACTGATTGGCTGACACACCCTTAAATTCAATCTAATCTAATTACAAAAATGCAATACCAAGATGTTTCATTAATTGTGGGAACTTTTCTCTGAATATATATCAAGACATATGAACTTAAATGCCACTCTTTGTGACAAATGATGTGTTGAAAACAGTACAATGTGCAGGACAGGGAGTACTCCACCACCAGGGTTGGGAACCTGCAATTTAATCTGAAAGAAAAATAATAATAAATAAATAAATAAAATAATAATAATAATAAAATAAATAAAGCACTCCTTATTTGGTAAAAAATAAATTACAAGGTTTAAACGTGTGTCCTGTGGCAAAACTGACTTAAATTCCAAGCGGGTGGAGAAAGAAAGAAAAATTCTTGCCCCATGTGAGGATCACAAGGACACATCCTTATACTTTAACGTTCAATCTAATCTAATTATAAGTTTAATTAATTACATAGTTTAATTAATTGTGGGACCTTTTCTGTGAGTACATTGAGTACTCCACCACCAGGCTTGGGAACCAGCAATTTAATCTAAATAAATAAATAAGGCACTCCTTATTTGGTAAAAATAAATGACAAGGTTTAAACCTGTCCTTGTCCTGTGGCAAAACTGACTGAAATCCCAAGCAAGTGGAGAAAAAAAAAAAAAAAAAAAAAAAAGTGCCCCATGTGAAGATTGAACTCACGACCTTCAGATTATGAGACTGACGCGCTACCTACTGCGCTAACGAGGCCAAAAACACACCACCGAGAGCACTGATTGGCTGACACACCCTTATACTTTAAGGTTCAATCTAATCTAATTACAAAAATTCAATATTCACTTACAGACTCTACCAAGATGTTTCATTAAATGTGGGACCTTTTCTTGGAATATATGTATATATCAAGACATATGAAGTTCAATGTCACTCTTTATGACAACGGATGTGTTGAAAACAGTACAATGTGCAGGACAGGGAGTACTCCACCACCAGGGCTGGGAACCTGCAATTTAAATAAATAAATAAATAAATAAATAAATAAATAAGGCTCTCCTTATTTGGTAAAAATAAAAGACAAGGTTTATGAAGTGAAACTGAGCTTTCTTCGCGACTTAAACTTGTGTCCTGTGGTGAAAACCGACTTAAATCCCAAGCAGGTGGAGAAAAAAAATTTGTGCCCCGTGTGAGGATTGAACTCACGACCTTCAGATTATGAGACTGACGCGCTACCTACTGCGCTAACGAGGCTAAAAACATTGGAAAGTGAGTACTGATTGGCTGACACACCCTTATACTTTAAAGTTCAATCTAATCTATAAAAATGCAATACCAAGATGTTTCATTAATTGTGGGGCCTATTCTTGGAATATATATCAAGACATATGAACTTAAATGTCTCTTTGTGAAAATGAATAAATGAGCAAGTATGTAATGATAGTGTATAAAACATGGGTAACTTGCACTCAGATCATGTCAGGGGTCTAACACGGTAGCTTTTCTCAGCATGGCTTTGAAAGGCTCTTCTGTGGGATCGGACCAGAAGGGCTAGCCTTCACTCCCCACGTGCATCAGTGAGCCTTAGATGCCTGTGACCCTGTCGCCAGTTCACCGTTTGTGAACTGAAAAGGTTGATAAAGTTAAACTGCTTCACGAATTAAATGTGCACCAGTGTCAAAACCTACTTATTTCTCAAAGCAAGCCTGTGCCCCATGCAAGGATCAAATTCACAACCTTCAGGTTATGAGATTAACACACTACCTACTGCACTAACAAGGCAGCAAACAATTGAAGGTGCATAAAAATAATGTTTCTGGTTGGACACGATTTTGCAGTTCAGTCTGCTCTAAATATATAGATTACTTACTTTGATCTTCACAGAGAATGTTTTGGAAGCTTCACCTCTCCAAGATGCAACAAGTATCTGCAAGATATTATAGGAAAGATAAATGTCCATCAAAGTGTGACAGGCAGCTGGTGGCCAAGCTGGTCAACAAAAATGAATAAATGAGCAAGTATGTAATGATAGTGTATAAAACGTGGGTGACTTGCACTCAGATCATGTCAGAGGCCTAAAACGGTAGCTTTTCTCAGCATGCCTTTAAAATGTGATCTAACTATACAGTTTATGTCCACACTTGGTAAAGCTGACTTAAATCCCAAAACACAACTGTGCTTTGGAAAGTGAGTGCTGATTGGCTGACACTCCTTATTTGGTAAAAATAAAAGACAAGGTTTATAAAGTGAAACTGAGCTTTCTTCACGACTTAAACTTGTGTCCTGTGGTGAAAACCGACTTAAATCTCAAGCAGATAGAGGGAAGAAACTTCATGCCCCATTTGAGGATCGAACTCACGACCTTCAGATTATGAGAATGACGCGCTACCTACTGCACTAACGAGGCTAAAAATGACGGACAGAGAGTGCTGATTGGCTGACACACCCTTATACTTTACGGTTCAATCGATATTCAATCAGTCTATATATATATATAGACATACACTATATTACCAAAAGTATTCGGTCACCTGCCTTGACTCACATATGAACTTAAGTGCCATCCCATTCCTAACCCATAGGGTTCAATATGATGTCGGTCCACCTTTTGCAGCTATTACAGCTTCAACTCTTCTGGGAAGGCTGTCCACAAGGTTGAGGAGTGTGTTTATAGGAATTTTTGACCATTCTTCCA